CACACACACACACACACACACACACACACACACACACACACACACACACACACACACACAGAGCAATACGACTTCCTTCGTCATCGCTCATCGCACCTTACTCCGTCATCCTTCCGTCCTTCCTCGTCCCTCCTTCCGCCATCCTCCACATGCCATGCCTCCCGGATCCATGGTCCTCCCTTCCTCCTTCCACCATCCCCTCCTTCCACCCCACACCACATTTTGCCTAAGGGAGGTGTGGAAGGCAGCAATGACTCTGTGAAGTGGGACGTCCTTGCTGTATTGGCCAATAAGTGTGGGCGGAATGGGAATAAAAAGAGTAAGAAGCCAAGAAAATTCCCAACCCTGGCATAGCTACCGGCGAGCCCTAGAACAAATGGGCATTACCCGGGAGGTCTGGCATGAGCGGATGGACAAAAGGCAACCAAAAGGAAGCAGCCAATTTGAGTAGCATCTGCTCCCACTGAGCCTCAGAGTGAAGATGAGTTGGCACCTCGACCTCCCTTCGACCCTCGAGCTCCTGTGACAGAGGATGGCTCTTCTTCCTTCCCTCACCTAACATGTGATGTGATGTGTTCTGTCTCATTGCGTGAGACTCTTGCAGAAGTTGACAAAAGATCTAATTGCTTCAAGAAGTTCACGGGCTAAGAAGGAAGCAAAGAAAGGGCAATCGATCATGGCGTATACAGATAAACAGAACTCAAGTTGGTGCTTCAATAGATGGAAGATCCACAAGATCATACCTCTGAATGTGCTATACGCAAAGTTGCACCTGGGAATAAAAAGGTCACCAAACTCTCTACCCCTACAACATCGGTTTTGTCTGACAAGAGTATCATGCATCCCTGTCTCAAGATATGCGGAAGCTGTTAGATGTCAGTTTTGAACAGAATGGGGGAAAAATCCTACATGAGCTCTCTCCTTCGTGGTTGAAAAGAATTTGCGATTGGATTTGATTTGATTTGATTCGGTTATGGGAATGGACCGGCATGAGGAAGCCGGGCGGACATCAAGTATAGAGAAAAGACAGAAGGTTAACCGACCCCCCATTTTTCACCCCCATTTATTAAAAAAAACAAAGGGTCATTTTAACAATACTTCACACCATTCTGTAGAGTGCACTTCTTACTAACTTATTGTAAAAACAAAGCAAAACAAAAATAATTAAATACCGGTGTGGTGGAAAGGGCTATAAAGCACAGAATTGAAATCATACCAGGCAGTAAGATTGCTAAGGGACCAATTCACAAAACATCCCCTAGGGAACTAAACAAATTGTGAAGGGAACTGCAAGATCTTAAATGCAAAGGCTGGTTTAAACCGCTAGTACATGGCCCCAGCCCTTGTGGAGAATTGTTCGTCATCTAATCCGAAAAAAGTCGGCGCACGGGCGCCGTCGGTAAAACAAATTGGTGGCCGGCGTCGCGTTTTGGCCAAAACGCACCCGCAGCCGATATGTGGCATGTATTGGCGGTTTAAGCCTAGTTCTTCACCTAACGGTGCACCTGACTTGTTTGTGCTCAAACACGAAGGAGAGCTTACACTTTGTGTAAACTACTGAGTTCTGAATGCAGTTACCTTGAAAAACGCTGAGCCTCTATCTCAAGGAGCTGACCAACTACAAGGTCAACTACAAGGTCGTAGCAACTACAAGATCGATCTGAAGTCTGGCTACCACCAAATAGAGGTGCCCATGAAGACCGCCACAAGACGACGACATTCAGAACCAAGTATGGACACTGAGAGTTTGTGGTTATGCCTTCTGGAAACATTTGCCCCCTGTAACCTCTCAAAGATCTATGAATGACATGCCCAAAACACAGTTAGACGAGTTTGTGGTACTCCACGGTGATGGCATTCTGGTCTTCAGCACGATGTCAGAAGAACATGAGGCTCACTTTAGACCTGTCCTAAAACAACTGAAAAATGGCAAGTTCAAAATGAACCAAAGAAATCAGAATTCATGAAGGTCTGGACTCTGAAGTGCAATACTTTGGACACGTTGTGAATGAAGATGGGTTATGGCCAAAAGAAAAGAAAAGAAAAGAAAAGATTGTTGCTATCAGGGATTGGCGTGGACCAAAGCCGCTTACTGAATGAATTGAGATCCTTCCTGGGATTAGCAAGTTAGTAGAGGAAGTCTGCAACGAGCACTATAGGAGGCTATCTGGTTATGGAGTGGAGATTGTGAGTCGGCATTTCAAAAGTTAAAACATGCCCTAACTCACTACCCTGTGTGCAAACACATCCCTACCATTTGCCATCAGAATAGATGCCAGACAGTGTGGAATTGCAGCAGTCTTGAAGCGAAATGATGGGAATGGCTATCAACCTGTAGAATTTACATCTAAAGGAGACTCCCAACCACCACCACTCCACCCAACGTCAAAAAATGGGCTTTCCGCCGTAGTTTCCGGGCCTTTCGGAGGCCGGAGGCCCCGAAGAAGGGGAGGTCGGCGGCAATTCAAGAGGACCTTAGCGGGGAAAAAAAAACGCTAACTTTGACGATTTGTTGCGCTTAGAATAATAAACCAAAAACTCTGACAATTAGAGATCCGGTAGATTTGGTCATATGATCTTTCCGGGGGAAAAAAAAAAAAAAAAAAAAAAAGGCACAAAATAGTTTAGACAGTGAAACACTCGCCGCACCGATTCAGTGCATTTTCATTTTTGGCACCTGCGGTTCAACGAAAAAGTACTCAAACTTCAGCGATTTCCCACGCTCAGAATAACGAGCAGAAAAATCTGAAAATTTCAGGTACGGTAGATTTATTTGTGATCTTTCCAGGTGGAAGGGATATGAGCGAGAGCGATTGACAGAAAACCAAGTTGCAAAATCACAAAGTAGTCCAGATACTCATGTACCAAGCAGAGAGCACAATGCACCAAGATTCCGTCCAAATAAGCGCATTACAATGAGCTTGAGTGTCAACGCCGACGCTCCCTGGTCACACCAGCAGTGTATCCAATGTTGCTCCTACTGTCTGGCGCTGGCCCAGCGGCCAATGTACACTACTAAGTCTATCTATCCTGTCTACGTTCTCACGACTGGATCACATCAAAGTCAAAGACCAATGTACGTGACGTCATGTGGCATACTCAGTTCCACACGGGCCCCACAGGGTCCGCCTAGGTAGGAGTAGGGGTAGTCGGTTTAGGCCAAGTAGTACTAGGCCTGGGCCCGTCTTTTGGTTAGCGCAAGACCCAGTTAGGGCAGATAGTCATGTACCAAACAGAGAGCACAATGCACCAAGATTCCGTCCAAATAAGAGCATTACAATGAGCTTGAGTGTCAATCCCGGCGCTCCCTGGTCACACCAACACTGTATCCAATGCCGCTCCTACTGTCTGGCGCCCAGCGCCCAGCGGCCAGCCTACACTACTAAGCCCATCTATCCTATCTACGTTCTCACGACTGGATCGCATCAAAGTCAAAGACCAATGTACGTGACGTCATGTGGCATACTCAGTTCCACACGGGCCCCACAGGGTCCGCCTAGGTAGGAGTAGGGGTAGTCCGTTTACGCCAGTTGTAGTAGGCCTGGGCCCGTCTTTTGGTTAGCACCAGACCCAGTTAGGCCCAGTTAGGCTCAGTCACGCAGACCCCGATTCGGGTCTGCAGCAGTTCGGCGCCAAGTAGGAGGCACAGGCCCTGGGCGCCGTTCGTTCGGGCGCCAGGCCACGGTACCGTTCAGGCGCCAGTTTTGGCGCCAGACTCTTTTCACGCTGTCGGAGCAGAAACCCTTACAAGGGTACCTGCTCGGGTTTTTCAATGTCGGACGCTGTCCGACTTTTTTCGTTAAATTGAGGAACTTGATGAGACTGATGTCTGCCAGAAGTATATTCAGACATCAGCTTCAAATTGGGACTACATTGTGTGTGTGATGACCACACGCATGATGCTGATGTTGTGCGCTTCTTGAGAGTGGGTTCATTACATTACAGTACACCCCTTCCCCCCTCCAACCAACAAAACTGTAACGCAAAAAAGTAAGCTTGGATTTGGCTGTTTTTCACCAGGCACAGAAACACACCATCAACAAAACAACACAAGAACGATTCTCGACTTTCAGCATGCCCAGGTTGACCTGTCGTTTCATCTTTTTTTTTTTTTTTTTTTTTTTTGAACCACCAGCCGTTTCATCTCATTAGTCGCATAATATATCTTTGCATTTAATGAAATATAATACCTTGCCCTTTGTTATGCGCGCTGCCTCAGGGTGCATGCAGAAGACGAGGACCCTCATCCCAGGTTGCAGTTCCTGGCATTCTTCGCCCTTGAGCACTCTTGACCGCAACCTGATCTGTGATATATGTACATTATCAATTGAGTCGTCGCCTGAAAAATTGGTGTAATGCACACTGCATATGTCGCCTTTGCGACTCATTACTGATGCATCCCACCAAGAGCCATTCCACTTCACCTCAAACACTGCACAGTGACAAGATCAGACAAGTGCAAGTCAGTACATTCTACAGTGTACATGTCTGAGGGCCAAATGGTACAACAGTAACAGATGAAGAGTTCAAATCACAACGGACGGATACGCCAATCTTAGGGGCGAATCCCACTTTCAGTGGAATAACGATGGAGAAGGGGGGGGGGGAGAAGAGTTCACTATGCACGTTCAAAAGAACACAAAATGCTTTAATACTTCGTAATAGCAGAGCTCCCATTAAGTGGTGCAAATGAAACATGATGGGCTAGCAAAACACAAGATCTACAGCTGGTCTTCCCTTGGGAGTCGGATCACACCACAGAAATCGGACTTTCGCCAATGATCATTCCTGCCGCATATAGTTAGCGGCCAGCACAGCCTGCTTGCTAGTTTGTGTCAATTCCCAACAACCCAGGGACTGACTCAAAAGAGTTCATCTCTGCCCACAGGCTGTCATAACCCCAAGATAGCCATGCCGAATATTGCAGGTGAGGCCACCGTGGGTAAACCAGCTCAAGCAGAGTGCCTTGGCAACACATTTTTCCAAAAATTCGCCCATTTTTTGCTTATTAATAGTTATTATTATATTCTTCAAGCAAAGAGAAGGTGTGATGCTCGCACGCTAGACCCCAGGTGCCGTGGGTACACCAGCGCAACACCTTTTTCCAAAAAAAATCGTCCATTTTTAAATGATTTTTTCCTTACTATTATTATATTATATTCTTTAAGCAAAGAGCGGGTGTGATGTTCCCATGCTAGACACCAGCTGCCTGTGTTGGAAACGTAGGCGGGCCTGGGGCGGGTGACGCAAGGTGCAGCTAAAAGAAAGGAAGTATGTCCTGATTCAGTGTACCACGTCATGCGTAAAAGAAAAATTGTTGTGTCATAGACACATTCGGGCTTTCGCGGTTTTGGGCGTGCAGATGCTTTCGTTTTTTGGGGAGCGAGCAAAGTTCCGTTTCCTTCTGTCGTCCTCGGGCACAGTTTTTTCTTTTTTTCTTTTTAAGAGAATATTTCAGTGAGTTTAACAGAGTTGCCTATTGTTGGGGGCAATAGGAGCATCCCCCAATAGTAGGCATCCTGTTCTATCTATATTGGTGGGGAGCTGCACCTGCTCGAAACTTGCGGGTTCACGGAGATTGATTTCATTTTGACATTTCTGGGTGTTGCTGGAGGGCTCGCGGAGATTCGTTTCATTTGTCGTCGCGGTTTTGGGCGTGCAGATGTGTTCTTTTCTGGGGGGCCGGGTAGAGTTTCGTTTCCTTCTGTCGTCCTCGGGCACAGTTTTTTTTCCCCCTTCTTTTTAAGAGAATATTTCAGTGAGTTACCTATTGTTGGGGGCAATAGGAGCATCCCTTGGCGTGCCCCTCCTGCAGAGTCTTTTTTAAAAGAACTGAACAGAAGCGATCTTTAAGACATCAAACAGGATAGCAGGAGACCCACCTCGTCCTCCATATTTACTTCACAGCACCACTACCTTTCGCAGGCAAACTCGAAACACCAAAATGATTCATTCCATAATTTGCGGGTGAACAATGGTACCAGACCAAAATGAATAGCAGCGCCAGCGAAAAAGAAAAAAAGAACAGCGCACTGGCACTTCAACGAAACATGGCACGCAGATCTGTTCCGTGTCGTCAAAAAGAGGCCCGGAGGTGATCGTGGTTTAAACAAAAGAAAAACAAATCGCGCAGAATGCTTCCCATCATAGAAAGGATGGCAGCCCGTAACATTATTGTATCCGTTTGCCTCCATCAGGACTCAAACTCCAGATAGGTATGCACCATAGCTACGATCCAGATCCCTTCCGGGGTCCGGCATACGGTACCAGTTTCCGGTAACCAGTCCGGATGGCGGGCCACCAGGCCAACAGCCAATTTTTTTTCGGGCGGCCCAGGACGTAAAGAAACGCCCTAGGCCGCACAAAAAAAATTGGCCCATATATAGTTTTTCGGCCTTTGGCCACCGTCCAGAAGGGGCGGAAACTCCTGGCCCCATGTGCAGTTGGTTGGTGGGCTGTTTTGTTTTGTGCTTGGAGAACGAATCTTCTGCGGCAGCGCTTTGTTTCCATTCGCGCAACAGCCCTTTTTAGCGTGATCGAGGCCGGTGCGCAACTCATGTTTGGATACACATTCATAGCTGCGCGTTTTAGCGTCTCCGGATTCAATGCCAAAAAAGACCAAAACGATATGGAGACTTACCTGTTCTCTCTCTCTCTCTCTCTCTCTCTGTGACACACACACACACACCAAAAAAAAAAAAGAAGTGGCAATGTGTATTTCCATGTTCTACGGAAAGATTCATTCCGATTTTGCTCATCCTATCGATGGAAGTAGCCTCTCTCTATCTCTCTGCGTGCATGGCTGGAAAACTCTCTCTCTCTCTCTCTCTCTCTCACACACACACACACACACACACACACACAAAAAAAAAAAAAAAAACAAAAAAAAAAAAAAAACACGTGTGGCAGTGTATATTTCCACGTTCTTTTTATTTTCTTCTTCTTTTCTTTTTTTTTTTCCTTTTTTTCTTCGAGCCTGTTTTGCCGACCCTGAATTTCACTGCGCTCCGAGTTTGCCGAGCCTGGGTACCACTCCGTTTTCTTTCTGGTACTCTCACGGAAAGAACAAAAAAGAAAAAAAAAAGAAGAAGAAAAGTTGCGGCCGTGAACCTCAGAAAAGAAGAAGAAGAAAAAAAAAAGGAAACAAAGCTTTGGCCATGATTGCAGTTGTATACATTCTTGGAAGTGGTAGTGTGAGTGTGCCACCAATGAGGGCATCTCAGCCCCGTGGCCAGGTTGTCAGATTCCAAAAAGAGAATAGAAGGGGGGGGAAACGGGCACACGGATCCGGCCATGAAAATGGCTGGATACATTCCCCTGTGTGATGAGCCTTACAATCCTCTGACAAAATACAGCTTGAGCAGATCACGGACAGCTTGAGCAATTCACGGACAGGGGACTCGTAAGAAACACACGACCAAGAAAAAAAGAAAACAGTAACATTCAGAATGTGACCGCCTTACCTGTAAGGTGCATTCTGTGGAGGAAGACTGTGAGCACGGCCTCCTGGACTACCCTGCCCGACATCATTGCAGTAGAGAAAGCATTTTTTTTTTCCCTTTTTCCTTTCACTCGCGGCACTATAAAATTCAGATTTATGGGACATTGCCGACCCTTTGTCCCACCCCCGATTTCTTCGGGAATTGGCAAAACCTCGTAATTTCCCAACACTGCCGGAGGTACTAGTGGTTTAAAGCCCAGGTTGTTGTAGAGGTGGGATACTAGACAGATGGCAGTCACCCATAGTACTCGGCCACTCGGTTGTCCTGATGAACCCCTCTGAATACCCCACCCACCCTTCCTCTCATCTTTTTGCCCTGGCGCACCCCCACCCCCCCTGTCCTACCCTAGTGTTAACCACCCAGGACCATCACCCATTGCCATCTTGGCGGGGTGACCTGACCAGACAGCGGTTCTTCTACCGGTAGATTCATTTTGCTCATCCTATCAATGGAAGTACCATGAGGTCACCCACAGTACTCGGCCACTCGGTTGTCCTGATGAACCCCTCTGAAGACCCCACCCACCCTTCCTCTCGTCTCTTTGCCCTAGCGCACCCCCAGCCCCCCTGTCCTACCCTAGTGTTAACCACCCACGACCATCAAACATTGGCATCTTGGCGGGGTGACCTGACCAGACAGTGGTTGTTCTAGCGGTAGATTCATTCGATTTTGCTCATCCTATCAATGGAAGTACCATGAGGTCAGCCGCGAGATTGGAGACTTACCTGTTCTCTCTCTCTCTCTCTCTCTCTCTCTCTCTCTCTCTCTCTCTCTCTCTCTCTCTCTCTCTCTC